CGCTATAAAATTTTTCAGACATATTATATTTTGATTGCGAGTTACGCATAAATATTATATATGGAAACTTTGTCAATGATACTAACCGTGATCATCAAAATGCTTTTCATAATCCGCCTCGCTCCACTGAGTTTCATGAGTGGTGGTTGTATCGTGTGGTAATGTACGCGGTAACACACTTGTCGAACGGACTATTAACGAAGAACAACGTAACGACAATTCAAGTGCGTCTAACCAACATTTGCCTGCTGCTTGAGATGGAGCTCGAAAGATCAAGTAGGATGTTGGCAAAGGTTGCATAACAGCGCCTGAAAAAAGATAGAAATTTGTTTCTAATTGCAACATTAAAATTACGACATATCTATTACTGAATCTGATCAAATGTTACTTATACATTATAACAAAATCAAACTAACATGTAACAAAGGCCTTACTTACACACGTTAAAAGAAAGAAATAATAAAATACTTTACATAATATTGATAATTGAGAAGAAATTGTACCAATAGTTTCATTCTCCGGTCCTCGTGGGGCCCATATAGATTGTTCCAAAGGATGAAATAATTTAAAACAAAATCCATCTTTCTTACTTGGACGTTCTATAACTTGACATGTATTAAGTAGTACCGTTCCAACCCAATGATTGCTCTATAATAAATACATAAACAATGCTATAGTTTACAAAGAGCATATGGTTGAAAGAATACACATATACAAACCTTTGTTTTCGGGCTTTTGTATAGCAATAATAATCCAGGCTTGAGAATACACCACAACTTGGTCCAACTTTTTAATGTGCCACGTACTTTTAGCCAATCACTCATAACAATAACAGTTGGATCCTTGAAAGAACTTAAAAGCTCATTGGCTACTCTTTTCTTCTCCATTCGATAATTCTTTCTCTGTGCTTTATAAGATTCTTTTCGCGTCAATTTGCAAGAATCCAGCGACTGAAAAAATCGTTAAAACATTACTTATATATAGTAGACTACGTATATGTATTGTTAAGTAATGTATTTCAGATAATATCAATGTTATAAATTTCAATGTAATATATATATATATATATATATATATATATATATATATATAGAAAATTCTAGTTTAAATAGAAATAAAAAATTATTATGACACAATTAATAGTAAATGTCTTTATCAGTATACTATATATTACAACTATACATTGTAATAAAAATTGATTTATTATTTACCTTGTCTGAGGAATTGTCGACTTTTTGGCTACCTTCACCCATTCCAGATAATCCTATAACATATATAAAATTTTTATTACTTTCTTTCCAAAATACATTTTATGTAATAATATAATAAGATATGATAATATTAATATTGAGAAACTTATATGCCACCAGAATATGTACACAGATCTCTTGTATAAAAACTTTTATAATAATTTATATGTTCAAAATAATATTTTCCAAATAAATAATTTATATTACGTTATAAATTTTTTCTTTTGAGTATAGCAAATGTACGACCTAATTAATCATTTAATAATAAGATTAGTATATTTTGTTAGTTTTAAATATCACACACACACACACACACACACACACACACACACACACACACACACACACACACACACACACACACACACACACACACACACACACACACACACACATATATATATATATATATATCATACTATAAATTATCATTTTTGTTATATATATACAAACTAATGTTTTATATTAATTTCAACAAATGATTACAAACTAATAGTTCTTGTTATAAAACAAAATGTTAATTGCATATTCAAAATTAAAAGTGAGATAGATCTAAGTTTTATATTTTTAGGGAAAAAAATAATGCATGCTTATACTGTAGAAATAAATAATTTACAACACGCCTTATAATAAGAGTGCATAAGGTACATAATATTATCTCATTTTCTATTAGTATGAATCCCATAGAATGAATAGAATCCTACTCACGCATCCATCCAATCAGAACAGTGTGTAGATGAACATATTATTTTTTTTTCTATATATCATAATTTCAACAAATCAAGATAATTATTCTCTAATAATAATTCACAAATTTTATAAATTTTTATATTAGTATTTTCTTCTTATATGTTTTAATTGACAGAGGTATAGCCAAAATCAGTATTTCATTTTTATTTATTCTTGTTTAAAATAATTAAATTTTATACAAAAAATATCAATAAGAAAAATAAAACATATATATAGGAGGAAACTTTGACTTTACAGGACTTTGCAATTCTTAATATAACAGTAATAATTAAAAAATATAAAATATAATTATCTTGATTTGTATTATATAACAGTGTATATATTAAAAATAAGAATTAGAGTTACATTATCTATTTTCTATTACTTAAAAATATGTATTTATTGGTGAATTTTTCTCAATCATATACGATAGAAGAAAATAGATGTTTTTAAAGAATCTATTACTATCAAACCATCTCCAATTTTATTTATATATGCACAATATGTAGAATAATTTATAAGATTTGCATCAAATTTTAAGTGCAACAAAGTTCAATTTAATTATGAAAATATTATAATTATGAAAATTTAGCGAGATAGTACATAGTTTATATAGTACATACGAGATAGTTTAAATTTATATTACGAAAATATTACCTCTCTCCCAATCTGCGAGCACATATAAATATATTTAAATTTGATACAAATCTTATGAAATAGATCATAAAATACATGAGGCACACAAGTTCACATTACCGTATTATTACACTGAGTTATATAATCAGGTTTTTATACGTTTCTTACTATGTGTATAATGATGATGTAATGTAACAACCAGTATTATTAATTAAATAAACGTATTTTAGCATATCCAGCTTAAAGCTTGATTTACAAGAAAAAGCATGTAGAGTGCAGGTAAGAAGCATTAAATAATATTACTACGTTATATGAAAGTTCAAAGTTTGTAAAAAAAATTATATATAAAATAGAATGTAAAAGTAAATTTAGAAAATAGTTTTATAAGTCATATATATGATTTCACACAGAATTTCTCTAACACGTATGTATTTATTGTACTACAGAAAGAAAAGCATGTATAATGCCAATCAAGTTTTTAAAGCTGCTTGTATCTGTTCAGTTATTCCAGACTACAGCAACAATATGTATTAATTTTTGAAAATACTTCTAGGTTTATACCTGGAGACATTGGAGGTACACCGGCTGTAATATTTATGCTTGTTGAAAGGGACTCAGTTGATGGAAGTTTAGGTAATGGTGTAGACTGTGCTTGAATGCTGCTGCGTCGAAGATGTCGATCCGCTGGTTCTATATATTTAGCACTTATACAGTTGCACTCAATATTTATCGTCACGTTTTATATCATATTATAAATAGAAAAACGTTTCAAACAAAAACTATTCAACGATTACTTGACAATACATATAACACGAATTTGTATTTTCTACATTACAAATAGGTGATGTTAATGTGTAGAAATATAAGAAATCACACAATGTTATTACTTTTTATAGTGAACAAAATAAAAACTGTTAAAACACGTGATTGTCTGTACAGTCAAATTTTTATTAAAAATATTGCACGTTTGCCTACTTTGCTGCAAAAAAAATAGAAGATACGCATGCTCAAGTTATGCACAATGGAGCATGCTGTATTATATTAACTACATGCTATTTATTATTTATTATGCTGTTACATGCAGGAAATTCATGCATGTAAAATAGATACATTACAAGAAAGTATATAACAAATGGAAAAAAATTAATTTAGTATATTAATATATATAAAGTATATCCCAAAATAATATAGTTAATAATATACCATCTTTTATAATATTGTTCCAATAAGTGTTAACAACACGTGATTTTCCTACGTATAAATCTTATTTAATAAAAATATTCTAGGTATAAATATAAAATGTGTATAGCTTGTATCGAAGTTATTATTTTTACACTATATATTTTCTTAAGAAATAATATGCATGAAAGCTCTTACTAGAAAAAATACATTATTTAAAACAGCATTTGGAGTTAATCCCTTGGTTTTATTCAAAAGTTTAGCATTCAATATAAAATTATATATTATCCATTAAATATTAAATGCAAATATTAAACGCATTAAATATTAAATGATGCCAAGAGTAAGAAAGTGGGCCATAAAGCATAGTTATTATTCACAACAAACTACCAGTGCTTATAGTACTAGGGATTCCTACTATAATATGAGAACAGTCTGTTACACACTCTCAGATATTGATTTCCATTTTTCCAACAGTAAGAGGCTTGCTATAGTATGTATTTCATTCATATTAATGAACTGCCGTAACTTTGCATCTGACATGTTGGTAAGATTACCAAGTAGTTTTATATGTGAGATATATCGCAAATAAGAATTTAAATATTATTGAAATGCTATTAGTAAAATTATTGTAGTTTAAATCAATGAATATTTTTGCTCTCATTGTTCCATGTAATTTTCAATTAAGGATAAATTAAAATGTGCTAAATGTCTTCCAAATTTTGTTGATACATATCACATGTATATGCGGATTTTGCATTTGTTATTTAAAACATAAATGTATTTTATAAAAATATCCGTGCATTCATAGAGTATCAGACTAGTACATACATATAGATACCTCAGCTTATACAAATGTTGATATTACATAAACACAAAAAACTGCAGTAATCACAGGTATTACATAAATCTACCACATCTTACAAGGCTTTAATGATATGTGAGAATTCTGCAGAGACATGCTGCAATTATGCCTATATCCTCAATACAGTGTGGCTCAAATATCAATGACAAACGTTCTTACAAATTGTACAAACAGTAAGTATGGAAAATATGAACACATCTACCACTTCTATATATTTATATATACAATTACAACACAGACGAATATATTTCTATTGAGGTTACTTATAGTCTCCTTTGCTATTTCTAATTTTTTTAGAATATCTTATAAGCTAATTACTTTATGAGTGACAAAAATATGTAATACAGTTAATGATTAATAAATTACCATATTATGATTTTTATATTAATGTAATTAAGTTATATATATATTGTGGCATCATTGCATACTCAATATTAAAAATATATTCCTAATAACACATACATTAAAAAGTTAAATGTTACATGTAATATAATAATATACTTACGGCTGAAAGACCTGCTGACATTTGGTGGTGTCATGGTTTTAAAGGTATCTGTTGAGCCTCCAATTGGTACAGAATGTGCTTCTGTATGAGAGCGATGATCTCCACCAGGTACCACAATTGGTTGTGAACTCATTGTGAATCTAAGATTAAGTAGAATGTACTAATCAATAGTCCATTAAGACATTATGTCTGGATAAAGTAAAATGGTTGAAAAAAAGAATACGAAAATAGCAAAAAATACTAATAAGCATGCTCAAACACGACAGAGAATGCTAATATAGTTGAGTAACCGTGTGTTTTACTTTGTGTCTCAATCATCTGTTAATAGACCTAATAGTACAATGTGAGACTGTTAGGCAAAACATTAAGACTCACCTTCCTTTCGAACGATTGTTTCGCACGGCAAATTTATCAGTCCATTGCAATAATGAATTACGCGTAGGCGACGAATTAGAGCGTGATGCGCAAAGGAACACAGGCGAAGAAACGATGCATAGCTAACAGTCGACACTCGTACACAGATCTCGAGCACGCTGTTTGCCGTCGCAAATTATTGCGTTCTCGTCGAGGGTGCGAATCGCGTCGTATGCGAATATAGCCGTGAAGGAAGTGTCACGGATGGTGTCGCAGGCAAGACGGCGGCGCGAAGTGCGATGTACCATTGATCATCCGCGGCGACCCTTGCAATATATAAGACAACAGCCGAGAGCGTGTGCGGTTCCACGGAGTCGCGACTGCAACTGCGCCCGCAACTGCGACGTCCGCAACGGCGACGACGCGCAACGCGCCTCTAGCGGAAAAAGGAACGCCGGAAGGAAGATCGCGAGAAAGATTACTCGTTCGCCGTGACTGTGGCTATGTAATTAATTCGGCAAAAACATTGCGCCTCGCACGCCTATGACGCACGATGCGAAATATCGTGCACGCGTGCGTGATACTTATACTCGCTCACAGACTGCGACGCAACGACGACGACGACAACGACGTCAACTACGACATCGAATAACTATCGGCTGCACTCGACAGCGTGCTCATTTTTTTCAGTCCATCTCCGGTAGAGAGTCCGCCGCGATTCCGTGTTATTCAACAGACGACGCTTCGACGAGTCGCCGGAATGTCACGCACTTTTCAAAGAGCGGCCGGCCGTAACTGATGACGTGCGTGCACGCGAATCCAATTGAATCTCTTGTCGTTATCTCTCCGCCTGCGCCACCTCTCCTTCTTCCTTCGGGCGACCGATCGATCGCCGATACGTATGAATTTTTAATAATCGCGATTATTTACGATCGCGCTCAGGCTACACGGCTTCTAATATTAGCTGGTGTATCCTCGTTAAAGTAGGATTTCCCGCCTACGTTATGGAGCGAAATTGGAATCTAAAAAAAGAGAGGGAGAGTTAGACAGAGGTAGAGAAAGAGAGAAGCGTTACTGATCCGAGGTTAGGATTAAAGCCGGCAGTCCGTGTGACTCATGGCTGGTTGACTGCTGATTAGCGCTAACCGCGGTTAATCTGTAATTGTTCCAACGAAGTGGAACTTCGCTTACCGTGCAGTCTAAGTGCACTTCACTGTACAGAATGATCAAGCGATCTTTGCAGATCAGTCTCGCGCGCAAGCATTGCAAATACGTCTCGATATGCGTACGTACCGTGTGCTGCGAATTGAGAAATTACTGAGATTCTCGCGCGATACACATGAAGCTCGATAGACCTCATTGAACGAATAAAGGATCAGCCCATTTCCTTATCTATTTGTATCATGCGCAGAATCGCACACTCGACGGGATGTAAGAGAGAAAGCAAATCAGTAATCCAAGATTATTTGACCTCGGAGTGTCGCTGCGATTCTATGAATGTTAATCGATTAGGTAGCGCAATCCGTCGAGGAACAGCTTTCGCGGAGCGTCCATTGTAAGCTTTGGGTCAGCGGAAAAGCGGTCAACTGACGCAATTATTCGTTATACTTGATTCTGTTGGCGCAACCCACTGGGTGAATCCGTTATACTTAAATAGATAGATTTTCCTTTGGGACGTAAGTGACCTAAAACGATACGTAGCGTTGCAATACTGTAAAACTGCTTATAAAAAAGCACTAATATTGCGAGAGAAATATAATGTACGCAGTCACATTTCTAACGCAGACAAAGATAGTCGAGAGTTTCAGAAACGTTTCACAGTATGTTAAATGATCGAAACACCATTGATATCCGAAATCAATAATTATTACTTTCCACCAAGAAATCCAAGTCAACACATGCATCATTTTATCTTTGTTCCATACTCTGTATATAATAAAGATAGAATGATGTTTTGACGATTTGTATCTATTACTGGAAAACAACCAATATATATCTGGATGTTTGCCGGTAACGTCTTTAAAAGATTTCTTGAAGATACTCGGATCTCGTGAGTAGTAACATCATCGACCATTAGATGGCATGTAGAGCAACTTATTTTACGAAAGTAGAATCAAGCCTCGCATAAAAGCATCGGGTCACGGCGTTACAGCGTCAGGAAAAAGACATCTGCGATGTTTTAATCGTCTTACTGAAGGATACATTGTCAACCCATTGTTACCCATTGTCAACCTTGATGCTTTGTCAAACAACGAGTAGAATTCTATTTCATAGCAAGCGCTTCAGGATCCAGTTGTTAATCGTCTTACTGAAGGATACATTGTCAACCCATTGTTACCCATTGTCAACCTTGATGCTTTGTCAAACAACGAGTAGAATTCTATTTCATAGCAAGCGCTTCAGGATCCAGTTGTTAATCGTCTTACTGAAGGATACATTGTCAACCCATTGTTACCCATTGTCAATCTTGATGCTTTGTCAAACAACGAGTAGAATTCCATTTCATAGCAAGCGCTTCAGGATCCAGAGTTACGTTTGCGCTCCGTGCACGCGCGCCATTTCTGCCCGCCATATTGTCACATATCGATACTATCGAGCACGTGTCGATACTATCGAGCGCTTCGATAATATTGAAGCGTCGCTGTGCGACTCGGTCGCGCTCGGCTTCGATCGGTCGATTCCGTAGCGTTGCGTCGCGCTTGGGTCCGAAGCCGCGCGCGAGTTAACGAAAGGTGAATCAGTTCGCGTTGGTGCGGTCGACGACACGCGTGGGTGATAGATCGCAGTGCCGCAACGGCACCCGGACAGCACACGAGTCGAGTGAGTTCTCACCAACCCCTTCTTCGTGGGAAGGCTCGGCGTCGGCGCGCGTCGCCGGCGAATGAAGCAAGTTAGCCGCGTCGAGCGATGGCAACGTGCATCAGCGAACAGATACCCTCCGCGTCGGTGAATGTCGCGAGGAAGCCGGCCTCGTCGACGGCCGCTGCCGCCGGCAAGCCGACCTGCTGGCAACACCGGCTGCTCGGCAAACAGCTCGCGCGCTGCAGCCAGGTTAACAACGCGCGCCAAGACGCAAAGACAAAGCCGCTCGACGCGACCGCCTCGCTCGTCAGCGAAGACGGCCGGCCGGTATGCGAGATCATCGGCATGTACTTCAGTTTCGTGAACCCCGGTGCCACCTGCGACGACTTCACGCGTCAGCTGGTCGAGCTCTACGAGAGTGTCAATGCGGAAGAGCGGAGAAAGAGATTCGAGGTGGTGCACGTGGTCCTCTGGAGCAACGTGACCGACGTGCTCGACTTTGAGGAGAGCTTCCGCGTCCACGTAGCCGATCTACCTTGGCTCGCGGTGCCGAACAATGACTACGAGAGGAAGGTAAGATCGATCTTAATTTTTGTCACTGAATGATTTTATATGAGACCATTGTGTTTTCTTTGAATGTGAATGCCGAGACAGGAGAACAAAACAAAAAAGAACAACTTTCAGAAGCTTATTATTATTATTTTAACAAAATTATAAGAAAGTCGACGAGTTGCGTTATTAGATTGACTCGTATCCGTAAAGCCTATCGAAAAACATTTTGATAAAAAGTCGATAAAAATGATAGAAAGTTTGTATTTTTCTTCTAAAACAATTCTTTTCTTATCGAATTAATTAATTTTAAAATATTGTTTCATTATCGATTATTTAGTACGTCGAGTACGTGTGGGTTATTTTTAATTAAAATATTACTGGAATTAATCGTAATAAATAATGCATTATTGATATCGTTATTTGGAGATTGGAAGTTTTGATACGGCAGGAGGTGATAAATGCATTATTGTATTCTGAATGAAAGTTTAAAACAAACTGGGTTGAATTTCGAAAATTCGCCGGACTGTTCCAAAGAGGATAGCGCGCCGCTTGTTCTCGGAGTAAGGAAAGTAAGCGAAAGATGTCGACGACTCTGGCTGGGAGAGCAAACTGGTAAGAAAGTTCCTCCAGCGAGAAGAAATTGTTGAGAAGCTTCGATGGTTTCTCGTGTCTTTTCATTACTTATTACGACGAAACTTTGGTACTGAATAGAGAAAGTACTAATTGTAATTAAAAGTTTGCTTCTCGCGAAAGGAAGAAACTGTTAGGAATGATGATTGAGACCCTCAATTTCCTCTCTTATTTCGTCGCAAGAAAACCTCCATGCGCTAAAATGCTTTTCAATGCATTGCATTGAAAAAAAGATTCTGCAACAATCTGAGATAACACGCCGCTAATACGTTTCATCCCGACAAATTGAATTCCAACTCGCCCTCAATGCTGATGAATAACGCATCGACCTCGGTGGCAATTTTTTTCAGCGAGTCTCTCAAGACGTCTGTCGCCAGCCTCGTCGGCGGAAAGTCGGTCGAATTTATGCGAGATCCCGATCTCGATTGCTCGAACGATCAAGACAAAAATCCCGCGCCTAATTCTGTCGCCTTTCCGTGTCGCCGACTACAAAGTCCGCCTAGGCGGAGGGTTCGCAATCGACGCCGAACTCCCATTTTTCTCAATTCGCTCCACGGAATCCGCGGTAATGGGACGCATCCGGCGATCCTCGGGCCGCAATCCGCATAAGATGAAAACGCCCTGGCACAAAGGAGTCCTAATTGTAGACCGTGCCCATCCGGCGAATAAAATCGAACATATACGCGTAGGAACGTGGCACGTCGCCTTGGGCGGCGCGATTTCGCACGAGTCGCGTGCACTCACGCACGCGGACGGGCACTTACACGCAGGAAAGTCACGTCAGCCGGCGACAGCGCGGCACAACATGCGTTTTTCATTCGGCACAGGCCTTTTAACCCCTTCGCGGCAACGCTATTTAAGGTTCGAATTTTATTTCGCGCGAATCCGTCGGCCGGAGGGTCGTCGCATGCACTTCGACGCTTTCGAGATATATTATCCACCCGCGCGATCTTTTCACCATTACCGTGTTACTCGGTATGCATTATCGTCGTGTCGTTGATACTGTACGCGAAGGCACAGCGGTAGGGATGGGAGAAGTGGGGGAGAAACGCGACAAAGAAAATTGCGAAAGTGCAGTTCGTAAGAATGGCCTTGCGTGTGAACGACTAGGAGAAAGAGCGGTGCTTTGATCGTAGAGTGAGTCTTTTGTATATATATATGTGTGTGTGTATATTGTAAGATGTGGTAGTTGTTAATGCATCTTCTCCTGAACCTGAACTTCTCCTCTCGTCGGAGAGTTACTTGTGAAGATTGGAGCGTGCTGAGGAATATTTGATAATGGTTGGCGCGCGGTCACACGAAGAAACGCGTAACTTTATATTAAGACGAGAAATGTAACTTTATATTAAGTTGATAAGAAAGGATTCGTCGTGCTTGTCAAATAAGATAGAAACCGAGATAAAAACCAAGTTCAGTTTCAAAGAGTCAGCGATTTTTACGAATAAAATAAATAACATCGACTTGGTACTTTTTTACACATATATATAACGAGGACTTCCTGTTCAGCTTGAAAGGACTTCTCCTTTCAAGCTTCCTGCGAGAATTCAATGGGAAAATGACGAATCTCTTGCACCAACCTAATCGTGTTGAATATTTTACGCGACATTGTTACTAATTTCACGAGACTATCGACGCTGAGTGTTCGGTCGATAATTAAATTCGTTAGAAAATTAAATGTCTCACGACGCGAGATATTATAGATGTTATATCTATTCGATAACACTTGAGCTTTCAATTTGTGTTTTAACGATGACACACGCACGAAACGTGTCACGTGCACGTAAACGCAGACAATATGCGAAATGTTCAAATGCCTACTTGAAACGCCGGATCACTTCACATTTTATTCAGTCGTGGTACTTTAGGCTCATTGATGTTTATAATAGGGACGCACGTACCGGGTACAATGCATACATTTAATCGGCCTCAATTGCAAAGAGACCGTAACGATAAGCGCTTTACTCGTAATCAACGTCAAGTAGCATCGCGATTGGTCCCCGCTCATTAATTCCGCGCTTAAATCGCCGTCGAGTGCTTTTTGTTGCAATTACGGATGCCGCGTTGTAGTTTTATTAACGAGAGAAAGGGAGCTAATCGGAGAGATTATAATGAGCGATTAAAAAGCGGAAGAAGTTAGGGAGATCGATTTCCTTTGAGATTGGTGAGATTATCGGACGTCTACTAACAAGATCATACATAAATAATGATACGAGATCCATTAAAATGCGCTCGCTAAAAATGCCATGTTTATTTAAAGTATGAAATTATTAATACGGTGTAAATTTGTGCCTCCCATGTGTTTTTATGTTTCCCGGAGGGAAACAGCTCGCACGCAAATCTAACATTCAACATGGCGAATTTATTATTATTATTCCATTAAATTAGATATTCGTCGACAGAGGACCACTGTCATCGATTTAAAAATTGTTTTCGAAGTTCCAATTTGCATCAATTTATGGTATCGGTTTCGATGTATTAGTTCCTATTTCTCATATAACTACATACGCAATGCACACACACACACACACACACACACATGTGCGTGTATTATGCGACGATAAAGAGAGGTATTCGAATTGTTCCAACGAGACAAACATCGAAGCTCGGTTGACGAGATCGCAAAAACACGCGTGAGCGAGCGGGCAGGCGAACGAGATCATATTGCTTATCAGCGAGCCGGTCATTCGCCTTTTTCGCGTCCGTGCATTTTCGATGGTCCTCTTCATCCGCTCTATCTACACGAAAGACAACACTCGGCTGCACCCTGTGAAGGCGTCTCTAGGAGGTCCCCGCCGCTTCAACGCTTTAATCAGACGAGGTTGCTCATAGCTCGGACGTTTGAAATCGCTTCGTAAGAAAACGCGCGCGCGCACGCGCGTGTCTTTGCCCGCGAGCGGCGCTAACGAGAAAGCCACCGGGGAGAAAAAGGAGTCCCCTCTATTCCGAACGGAATGGGACGACCCATATCTTCCTCAAATAGCGTTCTCGTTCGTTCCACGTGATAATGAAAGGAATCGGAAGAGACGACCAGCGAAAAACGGACGACGAGGTCGCGGTATGTGTGTTTCTTTTCGTTCGTCGCTATCTCACGCGGATGTTTCATGAAAGATGAACTCGCCGCGAGTTTCTTTGGAATGCCTGCTGAAAGTCACCGGTCTAAACATACATGCGGAATCTTAAACGGCCCCGTTCGGCCGATTTCTCCTCGCGCGCAAAGATAATTACGACGCGGGCGCTTCGACACACTCTAAATTTCTTGGAGTGAGATTTCACTCCAAAGTAGTGAAAATTGCACCAATCAAAGTTAGAGCGAGAACTTTACTCCAAACGAGTGAGAACTCACTCCAAGCGAGCAGTATTTTCACTCGTTTGGAGTGAGTTCTCGCTCTAACTTTGACTGGCGCAATTTTCACTACTTTGGAGTGAAGTCTCATTTCAAGAAATTTAGAGTGCAACTTTCGATTTCGAACGACGGTACTTCGCTGCCGAATCTCTACTCGTTCGCGGTTGTGTAACGTCGATCGGAACGCAGTGCATAACTGAAAAAACGAAATTAATTACGCGAATCTTTGCGCTTTGTTTAATTTTGTATACACATATCTCTGCATGTAAACTAAATTATATATGATATAGAGTTTAGTTATAAAAAGGGTCTTTAAATTTGAACGTTATTAAAATAGATAGTAAAGGTGGAGAGTGACCGGTGAAATTTTCGCCGAGGCATAATCGACTGTGACTTCGTTGCGAAACAGCTATGAGAAACCACGGCGACGTAACGAGGTATTTCATATGTGAGTAGCTTTATATATATACCTTGTAAACTGTTTGAAATATTCGAGACGCTGTCACGTCTGGACTGTATCAGATCTGGAGCGGAGGTACGTGTCAATACAAGATAACATTAAGCGCACACAGTATAACAAGCGGAACGAACCGTTGTCGTAAATTCGAACGACGGACTTGCCTCTCTTTTCCTCTCTCTCTCTCTCTCTCTTTCGCTTGCAAATAAATAAATAAATATACATACGTACACACACACATACATAGTAGCGTTAGATTGTCTCTCTTAATTACACGAGATCCACTAATTGAGTTATCGAATGGATTGGCTGGCGGCGGTGGTAGCTGTAGCACGCTGTCTACTACGATTTCCCGATCCATTCCTCTCAATCCGTTCCTCCGGATTCATCATGCCATTCCGACATTCTGATGTGCACGATAAATCGTATGCTCCGCTTTCCTGCGAAGGTCGGTCTTCTGTCTGCGAATTTCCAAATATAATCAACGTGTGTAATTACTTCCGCATCTGAAACAACTTTTACACGCTTTGAGCGTAAGAGGAACAGAGAGGATCACTTAATTAGCTATTAAACGTTCTCTAAATATATTTCAATTACTATGAAAGATATTCATACATATTTTCATCTAATCCTGCTACGTCGAATACGTGAATTGCTTGAGTACATTCGTGGAAATCGGACAAGAAATCTTATCGCTATTTCATGTCGGCGGCCGCAGCTTCGTTTTACGTTTTGTTTCGTGTTTTATTTTCCTCTTTGCCCCGGCGCATGTCTATGAATTGTGCACGACCTATTAGCTCGTGGTCAAAGGAAAAGTGGTGAATGCACAAATTGCTCGCATGAAAGGCCGCGCCTGTGTTTGTAGGAGAAAAACGAATCTCGCGAGGACTCGGAGTCACGTTATCGTCATGTATCAATCTCTCGTGGATGTTGTTGCATATATAAACACTGCATTATAATCAAATACTCTGCTTGTTCATGAATATTATTAATAATCATGTAATCGAGTGAATAGATGCATCTAAAATGCTCTCTCTCTCTCTCTCTCTCTCTCTCGTGTGTTTGTCGCGAGATTGTAAAATTGTAATTTTTAACTTGAAAATTTTAAAAGCACAACTTCTTTGAAAAATTAATACCAAGAATCACGTTGTAACGCGCAATGACTGTCTATCTCAAAAGAGCTTGCAGAAAATACAACGTGATTACATTAAAATTGAACAGTTCTTCATAACGCGAAGTTGAATTTGTGTATAAGCCAAAGAAATCCAAAGATTCGCTTTGTCATAAAACATTGTCATGGAAACAAGAAAACTATAAACATCGCTTAAAATTAACAAGTATCAGTACGATTTTGCTTATCAGCGTTAATTGATTGATTAGATAACTCGGCGAAAATGGTAATCGAAGTGCATTTCATTTCTCCTTCGGATATGTCATGAATTTGTTATCGTGTGCGCGAGTTGTTCCGAATGCGAGGAAGGTGCCTCGTTTCGTGTTACAATTGGCGTCCGCAAAAAGTTTAAATTCGCTGGCGCCGTAACGAGTCGCCCACACGCGACATACACTCTTATCGAAGCGAGCGTGAGCAACGCTCGTAGACAACCGGGGAAAAGCCCGGAGGGAAAACGCGCGATTGTCGTCGACTGACGCGGTCGAGCGCGCGTTGGCGGCGTCGGATAAAGACCGACCAACCCCCGCGGTCTGTGTACATACACGCGGCAGACGATTGAACGCGTGCGAACGCCAGTCAAAAGTGATCTCCGTCTGGTTTCCGTTTCTCTCTCACGCCGCTACGCTTCCCAGCCGCGTTCCCGGCTGGCCGTTTTCACTCCAGGTCGCGGCGAGGGACCCCGCCGGGAGAGCGGCTGAGCGAATGAGAGGAAAAGGTGCCGCGAGGACACGAGGTAGACGAGAAAAGCGGAGAAGGTGAGAAAGAGACATGCAGCGCAATATCCTAATTGTAGCGGCGTACACTATACGTTATAAATAGTCGCTCGTTTCACGAGTGTCTGTTAACGGTAACGGGATTGCCCGCGCTTCAAGAGAGACATCGGTAAACAACGGTAAAGCTAACAACTGACGTCCAACATACTTCACAAATATCATATAAAAAGTAAGCTCGATATATGCCACGTGGAATAAACAAATAAAAGAAAAGTACCGCTATATCGGAGCTCTTTGTCTCGCGTATCGAACGATCCCTTGTATACTCTTATTACCCGTAAATATTCGAGCGCGATACACTCCTTCGGGAGACGCTCGCGCAGCAGCGGAGAAGCGGGCATTTATGACTCCCAGTATGCGGACCACCGAGGGAAATAACGACAGCAGCGTGGAGCGCGGTAGCGATGCGAGCTAGGGAGGGAGGAGGACACACGCGTTATCGACCGCTCGAAACCGAGCGGGGGCGAGCGCGAACGCGAACAACGTACGTATACGTGGGGCACACCACGTGACGCGAGAGCGAACGAGAACGCGGCGCGGGAAATATACGAAGGGACTACCCTTTCCCCGCGTCCTCCTTTCGCCCTTCGTCGACGACCTTCTCCCTTTCTCTCTCTCTCTAGCTCTCTTTCTCGCTGAAAGCTCATGATAACGTACATGGTGCGCGTTCCGCGTTCGCTACCTACGGACCCTTCCTCTCTCGCCTTATGCCTGCCGCCCTCTCCTTCCGTCCCCTGTCCTTCACTCCTTCGCCCTTGCCGTTCTTTATGCGCGACCGTAACACGTAACGGGGCATCCCGCGCGATACGAGAGATTGCCCTACCTTCCACCCGAGATATCGAACTGCGGGGCGGCGCGGGGGAAGATTGCGAATGTTCGAAGAAGGGGTCGGCCGACTTAATGCAATTTCGGGGTAGATTGGAAGGCTTAGACTTGCCCACGCTACTTCTCGTCGTCTCGAATTATGACACCGGGCCGACGGAAGCTGCGTCGGCGATTTTCCCTCAACGGGGAGACCGGGATACACTTTAAAATAATATTCGGTCCGAGGGTCGTACACTCGTATATCATCGGATAATATCAGTAGAACCGAGGGAGAGACAAAGTTCATGCTTCAGTGTTCTTTTACAACACGTTGAACCTTCGAGTTACTCGTCGATTGTAATGAGATTTCGTTTTTTTCATTTGAAGGATCATGAGACGCGTGAAGATCGTCACACAGGGAGACTAGGTATTGAAATAGCGAGAGAATAAAAGCGAAAAAATTCGACGGGGCAGATCGAGAACTGAAGCCGAGAACGCGGAAAAAAATTCCATTAAAGTGGCGCGTTGTTGCTAATAATGTACTCAAAGGGACTATTTAAATATACTTGCATTTTAATTAAAATATGCTGTATATATTTTCACGTAAGAGAGATGCTTGGAAAATTTTTAAAAATTTTCCTTCTTCTAAACTGCCTTTTCTTAGAAAGCTTTAAAATGAGACTCCAGAGTGAACGACGCAATAAACTAAATATTGATATGTTTCCGTCCCTTTAATAGACTTTCTGTACAGCTCTTACTCCATTATCCTTATTACTTCTCGAGAAATATCTTCTGTATATTACGGTACACTCCTCGCAACATTAATGTAACTCCGACGGCAGTCGCTCTGCACGCTCATTGCTACAAAGTCCCTGGAGAAATATGCTCCCGGCATGTCTTGTTCGCCGGTATTATCGAGCGAGACCATTACTTTCTTCTTTCTACACTGCGATAATTACATCGCTTATATTAATCAACGTGAAATACTGCACACGCACAAACCAAGTGTGAAGATCGCGTCTAATTATTTCGCATATTTCTCCACTAATTTATATCTTATCTGTGGATTTCTCTATGAATAATTTTACATCCTTAATTTAAATTCTTATCACGTTTCATGTATTAATACAATCGTCTCGCAAACGTATAGCGTAACGATATGTGAAATAAGATACAAGGCGTAGATACAAGATCTTAGGCGTATATAACGATATTTCGAGCGAGTGATAACCAATCAAGCACATAATTGTCATTCGCAAATTAATCTTTATGATTTTACAGACCAGATTGACTCGAAGGTATCGGATAAAGGCGGGCGTACCAACGTTGATTTTACTAGAGGGCTCAAACGGATCTATAGTGACGAGAGGAGGAGTTGAACGAACTGTCGCCGATCCTACCGGTGCAGAATTCCCTTGGAGACCTCCACATCCAAAAGCTGCCCTTGAGGATGGACCTCTCTTGCCATGCGGTGGCCGGGACAGCAATGAACCGATGTTGCACGAGGAACTCCGCCACTGTTTCAAAGGAGTTTATTTCAGTGCACATTGGGTAAGCAGCAATGTTGAACATGTGTATGTATTAATCGCTTCGTTCTCATTTCTGTGTGTGAGTAGCGCTGTATTGCTTGGTCTGTATGCGAGTTCCTCAGTCAGAGCATATATATATTTTTAGGAATACTAATTAATTTAAAATATTATACCTTTTATCTTAAATTTGACCCATAACTTATAAAAAATTAATTATTCCGATTTTAAGTAACTATGAATAAAATTTTAATGTAAGCACTACAGTTAAATTAATACTTAAAAAGTAGTTAATAATATCATTAATATTATAATAGTATTGATATTAATAATATTAATATTGATAATATTGATAATATTAATTAATTATTAATACTGAATTAATATTAATTCAATTTGCACATCTTTTATTACTAATATTATAATATTAGCGAATACGTAATTAAATTATCTATTTTTAAAATCATTTTTTTTATTCAGTGTCCTCCTTGTAAAGCTTTTACACCGCAACTCGTGGATACATATCAACGAATCCGGGAGAGAGGCCATGATTTTGAAGTAATCTTCGTGAGTTCGGACAGGTGGGTTTGTTACTTAATCGTTTAACACAATTCGTAGCACTTTTATCCTTGGATTATCAAGATATTATTTCCAGACATTTATCTCTTGTGTATTCGACGATTAATTTCTCCCTGCATAACTATTACTATACATTTCCGCCTTTGTTTCCGTTTCTTTTCTAAAGGATTTTAATTGTGCGTTCTTATTTTAGGAGCGAGGACTCTTACAATGCGTACACGGAGACAATGCCTTGGTTGAAGATACCTTTTAGCCAGGAAGAGAGACGTCGGAAATTGGCGAGAGCTCTCGACGTTCAAGCAATACCTACTCTGGTCATTCTGGATCCTCGCGACAATATAATCACTCTAGATGGACGCACCGAGCTGATTGAAGATCCGGAGGGCCTGGTAATATAAGTATTTTTTAAAACAATTAAAATAATACAATTTAAACGCGCGAAAAAACTTATTAAAAACTATATTCCGCATAAAATAACATGCCTTAAAAAGTTTTCTTTTAAAGTTCTCTTATAATCTCGAAATATATTGTTAATTTTATAAAAGCTTTCTGAATTTTCAGAATTTTCCCTGGACAAGCAGAATGGTGAATATCTTGACAGAAAAATATGCTACATCGTTACACGATGCTCCGGCCATTATCTTATTTGTTGGTAAGGATATAAGAAAAAGATATTTGAACATTTTTAAATTATATTAATGTTTCTATGACACACACACACACACACATATATATATATATATATATATATATATATATACACATACAGACATCAATATAATTTATATATCATATTAATATAATATATATGTATATATATATATACTAATAACTTCAAATTACCTTACATATATTTTGCAGAGGGTGAAGACTGCGAGATTCAATTCGGGGAAAGCGTATTACTGCCAACAGCACAAGCGTATAGAAGGGATCGGCCAGACTATGATCCAAACTATGATGATCCTGACGACGATACCTTGCAATTTTATATAGCTTTAGATGTAGGTATACACGTTGAATATGATAAATTAAATGTATATGATAATGTTTCTCAGAGATAATTGTGAACATAAATCTTGTGAGTATAGAATATTCATAAAGTATACTTAATGATTTTTTTCCATACAGTGTGAAACGTCCGATATTCTTCGTGAATTCATTGGTTTGGATGACGCGGTACCTCTTTTGACTGCTATTGACATTCCACGAGGAATTTACGTGGTGATGGAGGATGGTGCTGAAATTACCGTGGATTCTGTACAACAGTTCGTTGATGGATTTCTCAATAACAAATTGCCGACTAATAAAATAGCGGCAGTCCGCAAGACATCAAAAACCGAACATGTGCCGGCCTAAAGCCATACAAGATATGTTAATTAAGCGAGATATTTCTATTTGTCAGATTTTTATAAGAGAAGGAGTTGCTCGAGTGTCAGATAAAAACAAGTCCCTCTCCTCCTTTTTTACTCCTGTCTCTGTGATACTGTCACTCTTTTCGTAGGAAGAATTCCGCGCGTAAATCGTACTCTGTTTTGCATAATCCTCTGCGGATGTAACCAAAAGATGTATGTATTATACCATAGCCAAAAATAAATCGATCAAATTGTATTTTTAAGTGTACACACGCACACGAATACGTTAATATATTATATATTACTTAATAAATGCCGAGTGGGCGCACTTTGAATGCTCTTATGTTTATGAAATAGCCTGTTCATCGTTGTAATTTGTGAGTCGCATTTTGATAGTTATGTTACAGGTATTCGAAGATCCAATACAATATCTATATACATATAGTCGTACACAAATTTCCTACTTTATACATTTACAATAAGTATAAGCAAAATATCAAGTAGCTGTCAAGTAGCGCAAATGTAATTATTTTATTTTATATCTCTTTTTATCGGTTTTCGAGTTCTTTTCTATAAAATTGCTTAATTTATCATATTTCTCTTAAATTACTAATTTATATGTTGTTGGAACAAGAATGATTTTTTTATACCTTATCTTACTGTTGTACCTTAGTCTTTCCTATACAACATACATTATACTCACATGAAACGCTATTGATTCACATATATCGGTCCTCTAGTCTATATATTAAATATTTTACAATTATAAAGCTACTACGTCGTTGATTAAAAAATGTACAGAAATTGCATTTTTTTTTAAAAAGGCACCGTATGTCATGAGCAATAAAGTTGCATTGGATTGTATTAATGGTCGCGCTAACTAAAAATTTGATTAATAAGACTGTCGCACCGTTTCCCTTTAATAATTATGTGTTTATGACGATCATCACGTAAGGAGCGCTGCCAGAGCATCAAGAAACTTGGTCCTTTCCTCGACCTTCAGTCTTATTACTAAAAAAAATAAAATAATGTTATAGTGAGTCTCACTTATTAGTACTTATGTATAACTAAGAAATTAATATTCAAATTTACTTGTACTATCAAAGTAGTCTGCTTCTATGTAACAATTTTTATTTTTTGCAGCTTGCTCGAATGCTTTCCCAAATAAACTGTAATAAATTTATAGTTAATTCTTAGAAAAAAGATTATGTTTTCTTCATACTTTTAAATATTACCTTCTGGGTTGATCTTCACAAACTGGTGGTATACCAACAAGGAGACACAAGCCTTCCTCTGTACTGACCATTGCAGAAGCTACGAGTGGCCATTCAGGCGCGTGTCTATTTCTCGAAGAATTCACATATGCCTTGAGAGCAAATTGAGCTAACATAATCAAAGGATGAGAATGCGCGAATAAATGAGTATCTATATTTCCATCCGGCACATTAAGATACAGAAAGGAACTAAAGTTTTGTATTTGCTTAGCTTCTAGTATGCTCTGTGCCGTTTTAAAGATGTTATGAAGCATCAGCTTTGCTTTCTCTATACCGTCTTCTACAATATCTTTGTTCGTACGCGACAAACAGTCCAGTGTATCTAAGAAGCAACGTTGTGGTTGTCGGTCCTTTGTCTGTAAAAATATGATATATATGAGAGGATTGGAAGAAAAAATTTGAATTATAATAAATATTAATATATTCAAGAGTTGCTTACCGTGGAATCCAATAAAGCCAACATCGCATATACCATATCCGAGGCACAGTACTTGAAACGATAACCATATTGAAGGGTAAAACTACTGCCGATGATACTATTAACTTTATATTTGCCAGCCAATTTTTCAACCATCTGCTTAAATTCCTGTCTAAAAGTAAGATCCATTGCACGAAACAATTGTCTAGATTGCACCAGAGGCAAACCCATTTCAGCTAAAACTTCTTTCAAACGCTGTTCTCCTCTAATCGACCAAAGACGTAGTGACACCGAGGTCGACATTGAATATTTTAAGCTAGCTTCAACAGTCCAGTGGCGATACAATGCTAATTGAAGGCTGTTTCGCATCGTTAAGGAATTACGTTCATAAATACATAAGCATTTGTCAGATATCCTCATTATATAAAAAAATATATAAAAAAGCAGAAGGATACTCTTTATCATAAGTAACTTTAACAGTGCTTTGTTGCTGTTGTTTATTGATATCAGCACCTTGTCTGTGCGTCAGTCTTGAAACATGAGCTTGAAGGGAACCCTCTTCAAGAACAGTGATTCGTGACTCTACCTTATTAAGAATAGACTGCTCTGTTGAACCAACTATAGCCCACCATGCCATATCTAAGTTATCTTTTGACATATTCCAAGCCATCTCAAAAACCAGTATCGCACTCTGTAATAAAACATCATATATGTTTTTTAAAAATGTGTAACTCCAGTATATTACATGTAGTTTTCAATTATAATTCATACTGATTTTCCATAATAGCTGTATTGTGAATAATTAAAGAGAATCGTCGCTCTGTTCTCAATCCATTTTCGTCGTTCACTTCGCCTTAGGATGTCTTCTTCATTTAATCTTCGTCTTTTGTTTTGAGCATTTTCATTTTCATTGTCTGATTCTTCATTTTCATCCTCCTCATCTGTCTGTATATAGTAATTAAGCAGAATTATAGAAGAGACAATTGCACATGGTGCACTAACAAGCTTATTGCAAATATGTTACATACACTATCATCTCGGAATATATCATTATATTCTGGGATTTCATTGTCTTCATCAGATTTACCAAGAATACGTATTTGATTTTCTGAATAGATATTACATAAATCATAGGGCCTATGACTGTCAAGAATAAAAAATATCATAGATTCACCTGGTTGAAGTAGTTCTACTAAATCTAGAGTACCACCACAATTTATCATAATAACATTCCTTATCTGAAATATTAAGGGTTATCAATCATACACAATGTATGATAAGAAAATCAGTTTAAAGTACCTCATGCTATTACCTCTTCGCAATTTTCTTCAAAGGCATTGATCATATCTTGAATGCCTCGAACAGGTACAAGGGTATATATCACATGATCATTTTTTAAAAGATGTTGTAATATTCTACAGGCACAGATTGCATCAACGTCAAAGTTCACCAAAAGTAAACATCTCTACATAATAGAAAAAAATTAGATAATTTAATTCAATCTATTAGAAAAATCTATTCTTTTCTGTTTAACTGTATTTAGGCTATAATAAAATAGAGGCTATAACAAAGATAAATTTGATTAATATAATAATTGATATATTTGAATAATTGATATGATTGAATAATTTGATATATATATATAAATTGATGAATGTATAGTAATAGCATATAATATATAGCATTGTAATATATCGTATCCTATTTGTGTGTATCACTGATTCTTATTATTATTATATTATATTCTAATAATATTTTGTCTTTTATTCTCAAGTGAAAAAGAATAACGGCTTTGATTTGTTTCACCAATATGATCCAAAAGACATAACAATCGCATATATCAATAATTCACATAAAAACAGATGATGGCCAAGACATGACAGATGCTACGATTGGAATATTGTAAAAACAATTTATCGCAAATATCAATACAGCACCAAAATTATGTTATGATTGTATATCGAGTTCCAAAAAAGCGAGTTAGGCAAGAAAGTCTTGAGAAACGAGCTCGTACGAAAGCGTGGTAACCTATAATTAAAAGGCGCGAATACATCGTGGTGGGATAAAACGAAGTAGACTTACGCTTCTTTGGATCACATCGTAGAAATCCTTTACTAGATTCGTCACAAACATGTTGCGATCGTTCACGGCGCGCGAAACATTGCAGATTTACGATGGCTTCGTAGCTGGATCTTGGCATGAGCGACTTAGCGCGAAAATCCAAACCGTTGGTCACGAGGCGTTCTGTCGCAGCAACAGCGTCGTTGTGCAGACACCCGACACGCTATCTTCCGCATCGCTATCCCTAAGCCCGGCGCATAAACGCGACATAATTGAAATTTTCGAGCGTGGCACGCATATTACCTGAACATCTGCATGAGAGTGTATACGTGCTTACAAACGACGCCGGAAACAATGGTCAAACAACAGACAGCAGTTTTTCATAACAATTTGTAAACAGTGACAATCGATTATTACTGTGCCGATGGATCGAGATTAATCGAATCGCATTATCCGATGCTTAAAGCAGAGAGAAGTCTGAGAGTGGCCACCAGCTTGATTTTAGTGGCCAGAGTGCATGGTACGGTCCAGCGGGTGCTGCAAATGGTTTGTAGCGTTTTTACTTCTTTCTCTTTCTTCATTCGAATCCGAGGAATAGAACAAGAGAGAAAAATGCTGCAGCATTTGTAGCGGTCGTTGGACCGCGTCCTTTATCGTTACCATCGCGAAAATGCACCTAACGAACGTAGTAAAGGCGCACTTTGTTAGATGGCGTCACGAAAATGTGTCTAGCTCTGGCCTCTGAAATCAGGTTGGTGGCCGCTCTCATGCTTCTCTGTGCTTAAATGATACGCGATAGGATACTCTTTATCTTTTTAACGTGTGTTCAAATTTTTGGCCAATAAGATTGGAATCCCAAATCATTTACAAGAGGAAGAACATATATTCAAGATTGATGACTTTTGGATTGCGTTAATGTTTGTAAATTAATAATTATCGTCGATGTGAGCAGCATATTGTCTACAACAATTATATGCATGAAAGATCGAGTTACGAATTTGTTAAAAAATAATATTTACTTCCGTACTTGCATTTTTACGTTTTTCTTCTTACACTACGTCCTGAGACGACCACGAGATAATGCCCAGATTCACGTTGCTGGACATTTAAAGATCGATTGTTGGGATGGCGCGCGATTTTAAGCGAGAGTGACAGAATATAGACGTAATTCTTCATGGCGACGTTGTTACTTTTCTGTCGGTGTCACTAGCGGCCGACAGAATATCAAAGAAAAGAATCGTAAATTATAGCTCACTCGATCAAGCGTTGTCTGACACACAAAATGGAGTTAGTTAAAAACGTATGGAGAAAGTCTACTTTTTTATACAAGACCAGCGTGCAAACATCGCTGAGACACAGGTATGCGTTTAGAATACCACCTAACCTTAAAGCACGCTGCTTAGCCATAGTTAGTTATTTTGTTATCGCCGAATAACGACGAAAAATATCGTGCAACAGCAATATCACATTAGAATCACGCGTGATTGTCAATTTATTAATGATGACATTGTCACAGTGGAAGTACAACATCAAATGTAGCCGAAGTGGCGGTGTTTTCACGAGATGGCGATTCCGGCTTGACAATCACGGATGCCGGAGACACAAAGCCGAAGGACGATATGATTTTCAATGCTCTTGGAGCGACTGATGAACTGTCTTCTTACATAGGACTGGCGAGAGAGTTCGCGTGCGACGGGAAAGTCGAACATCCATATGTTGACAAGCTTAAACGAGTACAGATGATCTTGTTTGATTTGACCCATGCAATCTCAAAGTCAGTACCTGGTAAAACCAGGTCTTTTGAGAACAAACATACCAAAGACCTTGAGGAATGGATTCTTGAATATGCGAATCAACTGCCACCTCCAGAGGATTATATCATTCCAGTAATTACTTAAATTATATACAGTGATTTTATATATTCCAGTAGACTGATACACATAAACTTTACAATAACTTTGAGTATATTAAATCTTAAAATTCAGTAAAATATTGAGTCCTAATATTGAATATATTTATCATATAGAATGACAAAATAGAAATATAAAAGTAACATGGAAAAAATTAAAATTTATTCAAAACAATATGTTAAATAGTGATAATATGAAAATCTGAGCTTAACTTTTAATAAGTTGTATCAATAAAAAAATTTATATCATGCAATAATGTAAATTTCTTGTATTAATACAATAAACCTACTAAAAGTTACACTTAGATTTTCATATTACATTTAACATGACATTGTTTGGGGCAAATTTTGATTATTTTTCCATATTTCTATTTCATTATGCTATGTGATAAAATAAGTGCAATCTGATCAGTCATAAGAGATTCAACGTTACTAAATTTGGTGATTTAATAGTTAAAATTGCTGTAAAGTTTATATATCATATCATATATCAATCTATCTCTATATCCAAATACTTCCTATTTTCTATACACATAGTATTAATACTTTTACATTAGGGCGGTGGAAAAGCCTGTGCCTCCCTGCACGTTGCACGAACAGTATGTAGGCGTGCAGAAAGAAGCATCACGACGCTGGTGCGGGATGGTGCCCTGGATAAAGAAGCGCAAACGTATCTAAACAGATTGTCAGACTTCCTCCTAACAGTATCACGTATTGCGGCCAAATGCGATCAGCGCATGGAAAATATTTATATTCCACGTGCGGAAGTAACTGAGGAGAAATAAAAGGACTGATTTAGAAATTCTTGTAGGGTACATTCATTCTTTTGCACTGGACTTAGGGCCGATTTTTCTTAACTTCTTGGTAAACTAACAGTTAAATCATATGTATCTTTAATTTGAAGGAAAAATAAAGACAGAAATATGATTTAACTGTTATCGTACCAAGAGGTACAAATCATTTATTAGAGGTTGGTATAGTCAGCCTTTAGAAATATAACCGACAGTCGCGTATAAGTAACTATAATAGTTATAGATACTTCGATAGTGTAATGAATAACCTACATTTGTTATCAACGTCTGCCTATATACTTTGTGTCCATTAGATACTAGATATGATTACAGTTTGCCATTCTGCCAAATTAACATATCTATCGAAGTATCAGACCTATGGATATGTAGCATGTTATATCTTTTGAGTTGATAATATTTTTGAACAGATTAAAATTATAGAGGGAAATAATGTATTAAAATGCTCAATTATAATCTTGATAAAAAAATTTGTTAATTTTATCGATAACAGCTGTGTTATATATAATATATACAGGAAAAAAATGTACTGTTGTATGTAGATAACGTAAGTAAAAACTTGTAAATATAAATGCAAACTATTATAATAGACATGATGTTAATATTATTTATGTACCAACAATTAATACTGATGTTAAAATCTTAGGAAATTTTATGCAACTACATGTGTGATTGTTGTATTAGAAAAATATATTGAATTAACAGTGTACTACACATTGTATGTACATCTTGAGACCTGGCACATATTATCAAATTTATTAAAATAATAGAGAAGATGATAAAACAATATCTATTTTTGGGGAACCTTTGTTAAAGTTAATAAGCTATTATGTACAAAATGAACTTATCAAGAGATAATGTCCTCAACCAGAGATGATAAAAAAAACAGGAACTATATGTACATATATATAATTTATACACAACAGAATTGTTTGGTCAACGTGTATTAAAATGTATTTAATAAATAGGAATCTATATGGACACTATATAATCACTATAATAGTGATTAACAGATATTTAATAACAATTCAAGTAAACTATAATTTATTCTAGGACCTTATCTCCTTCCACTATTTCTTTTAAACAAAGTAATTCTAACAAAGCGGAGCCTTTTGTCTCTGATTGTACTAATTCATCTAGTTGTCTAAATTGACCTGGATCAATTAAACAAGTGATTGTTAATACTCCATTGTCCCACTCTTCTGATTCTGTTTTAGAAACCAGTTTAACTACTTTGTCTCTTAATTTTCTTGCTTCCCTTCTTTGAATGACAATTTTGAGCCTCATTTGAGCACGTTCTATTGGCATCATTTCCTTCAATTGTGAAATGACTTCCAGTGCTTGTTGCTTAGAATTTCGATTTGGTTTAACAGAAAAGTGTAGTTGATCCTTCATGGCACTCTCAATCATGGAAACAGGATATGGACGCTTTGTTTCTGGATTTACGCACATAGTAGCAACTGCAGTAGCAATATCTTTGAACATGGAATCTATTGCCATATGCCTTTCTCTGTCAGAGACTTGAAGTTCTCCTTTTTCAAGTATCTGCTTGCATACTTCAGTTTGATCATCAATGCCAAAAGCTTTTATGAGGTCTTCTTTTTTGGCTACTTGGCCTTTCGATACATTAGCAAATACTGTGTGTGTTTGTAGTACTTCGTCAATGTCTCTTTCCCTAAAACATAAAAATAAATAAATAAATGCTGTATGCAATACCTCGAATTAGCAATATTAATTTTACAATGTATTTATAGGAATATGCAAAAGAAATTGTAAATTTGGTTTATATAGGTTAGGTGTTGGAAACAATTTTTTTCAATCGCAATTTACTCGTCATCGACACAAAAACGTAATTAATAATTAGATAATTAGACTTACAATTTGCTTCTCCAAGAAACCACTTTGTTCTTATAACAGGCTATCTCAAATCGCTTGCCACCTTTTTTCATGCGAACAACAGCAACGTTTGTTAACCTTATTTGATTCGTTGGTGTAAATATTAACGACATTTTCGCACTAATTGCAAAATCGGCATGCCACAACAAATAAATTGGCTATTTTGAAACGCGTGATAAACACGCAGAGAAATAGAAGACAAATTTCCTGTTCTTTTTTCTTACGCCTAATAGTAAGAGATATTACACCATGTTGCTACACAAACAGTAAACTTGGAACTGATGATGGATCATATGGAATAGGCCATGTTTGTTGTGGAATAGGCTAAAAATTGATACTTATTTTTAAATTAAAAAACCGATCTTCTTTGTTGTTTTTAAATTTAATTAATTCTTATATTAATAATATTCTATTTTAATGTTATTTTCGATTTTATTATTCAATCGTACTATCAAAAAAGGTATAAATGCACTTGTAATCCGTAGTTATATTATCTAAAATAAAAATTTTTCTAATATGCTGTTGAATTATTTAAAAATAAAGCGATTTTTTAATTTGTTATCATAGCTGGTACAATTTGAAAAAAAAATATGTCTCACTTATCCTTGAATCGTACTACGATTTATAAACGATGGTATCATCATTTTACGTTCCAGTCAGTGGCGGTTCGTAGCGGAGAATTTGGAACTAATAAAGCCGTAAAGGGTCTAATTGTAACCAGTTTAGCAAAACTTGATTAAATATTCATTTAGTCAAATTCAAGTTATTCAAGATATTCAAAATTTAACTTGGTGCTAATTAGCGCCAAAGAAACTGTTAGTTAAAAATTAAAAACATGAATAATCACGCTAGATTATGGGTACGGTCCAGCGGACGCTGCAAATGCTTTGTAGCATTTTTACTTCTTTCTCTTTCTTCATTCGAATCCGAGAAATAGAACAAGAGGGAGAAACGTTGCGCAACATTTGTAGCGGTTGCTGGACTGCGCCCTATGTCAATTATCCAAATGTAGTTCTAAAGTCTCCGTTATGAGCCGCCACCGTTTCTACTAACAAATTAAGATCGTAGTGTATGTACCTTAATTAGATTAGGTTAGATTAGTCGTATCTGTATTGTTCAAATAGCAAGATTCAGTAGCAAGTCAGATAACATTTTACTTACAACTGGCACAGTTCAATGATAGATTAGACTATTTTTCAACTTTGAAAATACTTCAATAACTGATAAGACAATATTTGATTTCCAAGCGTTATAATTCAACAGAAAGTCAAAGAGAGTCAAAGGGAATCAAAGGATATCCAAGACAAGGTAAGTCTGTCTATATCGCGTTAAAGTGTAAGAAATGTAACAAAATTATTCTACTCTCTGTAACTAATTTTGTATGGATTTGCAGTCATCAAAAATAAAAGGTACCGTTTCTCGAAGTATTTTTTGAATTACATCGAACTACTTCATCTCGAGGTAAAAACTAATATTCATTGTCGATCGTTACTCATGATCGATGATCACGTATGAAATCGCCAGCAGTATGTAATGAAACATTTGTTGATAAATCTTGACAAAAGATCGACGAAAAGCGATTAATGTGCGATTATTATTTGGGTGCGTATTATGAAATTTTTCGGAATCGATTTTGATCGGAATTATTCCGTCATTACTTATATTTTTATTATCTTTTCCAAGGGAAACGGAATTATTCCGATCGGAATTGTTTTCGAAGAGTTCTATAACGCTCATATTAAATTATCAATTAAGGATTGCAATCAGACTAATCAGGTAATTTAAACCTTGGTTCTGCTTTTGATTTGTCCAATTGCAATCTTAAACGCATAGCTTGATACGATCACAATACATGCTGAAATTTTCACATACGTTGAGAAAAATGACTAGCAAAACGACATAAAACATGAGTTCGCGATAAAAGATAGATTCACGCGTCGCGCGCGTCGACGTCACGGAAGCGGGGGAGCCTGCGGCGGGCACGCGTGCGCGGAGCGACGGTCGGCGCGAGGCTGTATCCAATATGGCTGCCGCGAGCGTGATGCCGTCGAAGGTGCGCGAAAAATGACGGCTTTTCCGCGCTCCTGACGGCGCGATCGTACGTACGCGCGTGAAGACAGTGCCGAGCGATCGTAGTGCCTCGGACATCGCAACAACCCGGCAGTGCTGCATCATCATGGCGTTGGTCACAGTGCAGCGTTCCCCGAGCGTGTCCAGTTCCCCTCAGAGCTCGGTGAGTTTTGTGTTTCCTCTACCTTCTGCTCTGTCTCTCTCTTCGCCTTCCTCGTCGAGCGTATATGCGTGTAATCTACCACGGACAGTGGAGCGCGTTATCAGCGTGTTATCGGCCGCTTCAAACTCGAGCTATGTAGCCCGCCCTCGCTTGTGGCTCCATTCGGCTTGCCGACCGGCTGGTTGGCTCTACCTTATTTGGCAGCCAACTGACAGCCGAGCGAGAAAGGGAATCGAAAGGATTCAGAGTTATCCCATAGCTGCTTGGCGTTCGTGAGGCAACGCAGCGCGACGCGCCAGAGGTCAGGACGCGGTCGCCGGCGCGGAAAGCGCGCCGAAACAAAGAGGAGCTCGTAGCGTAAACAAACGTAGGCGGTAGATAGGTCGCCTGATCGCTCGCTCGCTCGCTTACACGGAATTCTACGATGCGTCGTCAATGAATTTCCACCGTCCTGGATATCGTGTTGTTATTGTATCGCGTAGTATGACTATTTGTTTCCCTGCTTGCCTTTCGCTTTCCGTTCACACGACAATCATTTACGGTTCTCTCACGTAGTCGAAGAAGTTTTTTTTATATTCGCATTGTTCAGCGATCAACCCACATCTTTATTTCGCGTCCGCGAAGAGAGCGCTCTCACACGATATCTCGTGGATTCTTCTTTCGCAACGAAAAGATTGAGAGGGAAAGAGGGAGGGAAAAAGAGAGAGAGAGAGAGAGAAAGAGGAGGGTTTTCGGAGCGGCAAATTTTTCTTTTGTTATGGCGCGCGAGCGGCGAAATGATGAATGATCGTGCGCTTCCGTAGTTCTGATGATAGGCCACACGCGAATAATGATCTCGCAATTTCGTTTCCTGAAGTAAGGAAATTGTGCAATGGACGAATGACAGGCGCGCGAAAACGTTTTCTCGTCAGGGTTATTGCAACCTATTTATTGGCTCCATTGATTGACCGATCTCTTATCGGATATATCGTTATCGTCGCGATAAGACGGTTTGACAGTGATTTGTCTTCATTGCAATGTCACTACTAAAATAAAATCACCTTGGAATTCTAGTCGACTGCGAAAGCTGTATTGACATAAAAATAATATAATAACACGTACATATACTATTTTAAAACAATGTAATGTTATATTATTACGTTTGTACATATACTATTTTAAAACAATGTTAAATGTTAATTTTATAAGGAAGTAACTTTCCATACAAGTATTAACATTTTTTAAAGCACATTATATTTACTATATTTACTATATTATTTATTATATTTAGTATCCATATAGCACAAATGTTCAATAGATATCCTAAGAACATTCTAAGAATATTCGAATATTCTTAGGATGTTCTTAGGATATCTATTGAACATTTGTGCTATATGGGTATATTTATACTATATTTACTATATTATTTACAGATCATTACAGCATATAAATTGTCCCGTTACAATTAAAAAAAAATTTTTTTCGCAAAGTCATAAGGTCGAATTGTCTAAGATTGATTGCTTTCGAACGCGACCAGACTTTGGATCTGTTTTCTATTGCTGAACTGGCTGCACCAGTTCTCTCTTCTTCTTCCACCAAATTTTATCTGTACATCTGTCTCTTTTTAAATTCCGAAAGTACATTATTTCAGTAATAGAAAACCTTCATCTCAGAGGATTCACACAGAAACGCGCGCGGCACTGACTTTCAAAAATTCTAAATTTCTAACGGAATATTAACTGCACACCTCGAGCTATAAACTACATTGCGCGTTTTAAACATATCGTCGCAGTATACCACCTACACTGTACGGCAAACAACAGTAAATCTCGCCTCACTGAGACAGAGTAAATTTCCCGCGGGTTTAGCGCGCGAAATCTATCCCTGTGGTGCGTCTACGTACGTTCTACGCATCCATCATAGTCCAAGAAGTGGGCTAATGCATGATTCTCGCACTTGACCTTTATTCCCTCATCTCCGACGCTCCGCTCGCTATCAATCTATCGCACCCTTCGGACGCGGCTACCTTCGGCGCGACCTTTCGTTCGCTTGCACGAGCCACAGAGCCTCGCTTCACGCCTCGAGGGTGACGATCACGTCGCGGAGTCGCTGGCACGACCTGACCCGACGCGGCGTCGCGCGGCGTGGCGTGGTGGCGCACACACCGACACGCTCGCGCGTAAACGCCGCGAACAGAGACGGTGCGGAGAGACGGTGTGTGCCGTCCCGCAGCCCTCCCTCGACGTTTGTCGGCGTCGGCGGACTCAGTTGGTCCGCCGCCGCTCGGCACGACGGTGGCTCGCCAGGGCGATGCATATTCGGTGTAGATTTGGGTCTCGTTTGTCGCGTCTCGCTTCGATCTAAGCGCGAGTCCCTCGCGCCCTTTGTCTCCAGCCTTCTCGTGTGCGCGGGGTGCGGGAATCGAGACTCGTGATTAACGCGACCGTGGAGCGGTGACGCGCAAGGCGAATCAGGCTATCCCCGAGGGGCGTTCGCGGGGGAAGGATTACTCGGAGGATAATTGAATGGAGTGTCAGGCGACCGCGGGTACACATTGGGCTGATGAGTTTTCGATGGAAACGAACGTATTGCAAATAAATTGATTACACTCTGATGTGCAAACTGATTATTGATTGAAATAACTGTTGACTGATAAATTACACGCTCGGTGTGCTGGTTAGCGGTCGCCAAATGTCTTTGCCTGTGAAAATTCGTTCGTGATTCTTCACCTCCGTCGTCATCGTTTCGGGAATCACTCGCGAGTTTTCGCGAATTAATAAGACATTGCCGTTCGTCTGATGATGCGTCAGCGTCTGATGACGAGTACGAGAGCTCAGTGAGAGACAGCGGCGATAAATCGCGAAATCCGGATTTGCTTAAAGAACAGATCGATACACTTCGAAGAAGGAGACTGCGAGTATCCCTTGACCATAAGAATCGATCGTCGGGGTGAGATCGTTTGCGCTCGAGACTTAGACCGATTTGCACCGACGTGCATCCGCTTTCGTGGTCGGGATCCATTTGTCGAGTGCGATCGGATGTAAACGAAAGCCGCGGCTGGTACGCAGGAAGCGCGTTATCGCATTGCACCGGGGGCTCCTGTCAGTCGATACAGACTGGCGATAGACGACGTCGTGGGCATGATCGTGCTGAAGCAGAAAGCCTCTCTGCACTACGGCCTGCCGCCGCCACCGGCGCCCCAGCCACCCTCGCCGT